TGGCTAGTTGCTGGTAAGGCCAGAGGGAAGCGCCAGACAGCGGGTCCTCAGTCCCCTGAAGCCCCAAGGACGAAAGGCACTAACAGCCCCACTCCCTCTGGCAACATTAAGGGCGATACTCCGGCCTCTGAAATATCTTTCAAGGACAAACAAAAAAAGTACGACCCAGGATTTCAGAAAACCGAAAAAATTAAGGAGTTAAAAAAGAAATTAGATAATCAGCAATCCCAAAATCCAACTCCTTCCGCGTCTTCTAGCCAGTCCATCCCCTCTCTTAAGAAACGACCCTCTCCCCAGATATCTCCATCCAATTCGCGTCCCCTTAGTCGAGATCCTAGCCCTTACAGACACAGATCTTTCTACACACCCCTTAACACACCTACCCCTTCCCCTGTTAAACAAAACCCCGCTAGCACACCTCTACATACTCCCAGTCATTCCCCGCTTAAAATGCCACCCCCTGCTTCCAAGCGACAGAGAAGCCCCTCACAAGAAGTGTTTCTTTTTTATGAATAAAAAGGAAGGACGCCTTTTTATAATACAGGAGAAAATGTCTGTCGTATTTCTCCTGCCCAGGCCGAGAGAGCCAGGGATTACGGAAACCGCATTAAAGACTTGAAGTATTTGCTATCAATAAGGCAGTTTGCGGACCAGGACATTGAAGTGCCCCCAAATTTTTCGCTGGCCCAAAGAGTTCTCACGGTGATCAGAACGGGAACCGGAGCTAAACAGATTTGGGCTATGCTTGAGGAGGCCATCAATTCTTGTAAAATGACATTGCCAATCGCAATCACCCAAAATGAACAGCTTAAAAATTTAAAACAATTCTGTGCAGGGAGGGTCCCCGTTTTAGTTCACCCCTCCTATATAGAGCACTTAAATTGACCTTCCCTGGGATATCGGCGGTATCTCCCAAGACGGCACCATCAAGACTGAGATGGGCCATGGGTCTATGGGAGAGGCGGTCGGTATCCTTACCCGTCCATGTTCAAACCAGTAGTTCAACCCTAATCAGGCTTCACTATGGCTCTCTGGTTAGCTAGTGTAAATGTCCGGGGCCTGAGGTCCGAGTCTCGCAAGGCGAGGTTCTCTCGTGACCTTCAGCGCCTCAGGGGTGGATGTGTGTTGTGTGCAAGAGACCCGGTTTTATTCTCATGACTGTGAGAACATTCTGTCTAGGGGTTCGCCCTTTATTCAGCATGTTTTGATGGTCGTTCGAGGGGTGTCTCTTGGCTAGTGAGCAGGTCTTTGAAGGCTGCATGTACCCTTGTCTTCGCGGATCCGGCGGGCAGGCTTTGCGTGCTGGATGTTACCATAAAGGATAAGGCTCTACGTCTCATTGGGGTTTATGCGCCCAATATCCATGCCGAGCGGCCTGCTTTGTTTCGGCAGATCGCGCCGTACTTGACGACATCTCGTCGGGTAGTTTTAGCGGGGGATTGGAATGCCGTCCTTGACCCCGATATAGATCGTATAGGCCAAAGTCAAGGTACTAACAACCCGGACGTGAAACCATTTCGGGGCTTTATCGATGAGTTTGGTCTCGTCGATAAGTACCGGAATGAACACCCTCGGGAGGTAGCATGGACTTGGACTAATAGTGGCAACTCGGCTCCTGGCTCGATTGCGAGCTACCTGGACCGAGTCTTAGTTAGGAGAGTCGATGTAGGGCTCTTAGGGTGTCCAAGCTTCCACTATATAGTTTATACGGATCATAAGCTTGTCCGGGTCCGTGTAAACTTAGATAAGCCTAGGGCTAGACTAGCTGGTTACTGGAAATTTAACTGTTCACTATTTGGTGAGCAGGGTTTCCGGGACCAGCTGCTACTAATCATTCAGAGGGAATTGACGGGGGCGGTTGTTGGAAACGCCTGGTGGGGCAAATTAAAATCCAAAATTATAACGTTTGCTGCCGATTTTAGTCGTCGACTCAATCTCGATAGATTAGCGGCGCAAACGGCTTTAGAAGAAAAAGTTGATCGGGCCGTGAAATCCCGTGTTAGTGGGGACATAGTCGTAGCTAAGGCAGAGTTGGCCTCCTTGCTTATCAAGAAGGATCAAGCTCTGGTAGTTAGGGCTAGGCTAAAAAGAATGTCTTCTGAGGCGACGAACATGGCCGCTGAACTGCGTGCAGAGGAGAATAGGAACGCGTCTAACCGACATATAGCGGGCGTCACATTGCCGGATAAGCGGACCGTGACTACAAACGCGGGCATATGCGAGGCATTTCGTGATTACTTTCAGGATCTTTTCACCGAGGAGCCCGGTCTGAGCTCTGCTCAGTTCGACGCCTATTTAGCTGACTTTCCCTGCCTTGAGGCAGCTGAAGCGGCTAGGTGCGAGGGTCCCATAACAGAGTCGGAAATCTGGGAAGCGCTGAAGCAGGTTGGCCTGGATAAGTCTCCGGGACTAGATGGTCTTCCCTACGAAGTGTACTTGAGGCTGTCGCCCGTTTTTGTTCCTTTGCTGCAGCTGATTTTCAACCACTGGATGAAGCAGGGGTCTTTACCTCAACGCTTCACCAGGGGTGTGATGAAGTTGCTGCGTAAGGACAAGGACGGTGGGGATGGGTTAGGGAACTTTCGCCCTTTAACGATGTTAAATACGGACTTAAAGATTTGGGCGAAGATCTTAGCCAACCGTCTGCAGCTTGTCCTGTCTCGTCTGATTGGCCCCGAACAGACTTGTGCTATTCAGGATAACCTTCACATGGTACGCTTGATCTTAGAACAAGTCTACAGTGAAGCCGCGCTGATCAATTTGGATCAGTCCAAGGCCTTCGATAGGGTTGACCATCGATTTCTGGAGGCTGTCCTTCTGGCGGCCGGTTTCGGAGCCGACTTTCGCTCCTGGATCCGACTCTTGTATGCGACCCCCTAGCGCTGGTGGAAGTGAATGGGGTAAGATCGAAGCCTTTCGTATTGTCTCGCTCCATTCGTCAAGGTTGTCCGCTCTCGCCTATGCTTTACGTTCTTGCGTTGGAACCTTTCCTTCGCAAATTAAAGGCGAATCCGGTCCTACGCGGAATTTCGCTGCCTGGTGCTTCCACCTCGGCCAGGTATTCAGCCTATGCTGACGACGTTTCGGTTCTTGTGTCGAGCAGAGCCGAGATTAACGAAGTCAGCAAGGAGATCAGTGGGTATGAGATGGTGACGGGGCCAAGATCAACCGCGATAAGTCTGTGGGCTTGCGGTTGGGTGCGTGGAAGGAGTTTCTCTTCCCGGACCTTTCCTCTGGACGGATGGGCCGATCAAGATAATCGGCGTCTGGTTCGGTCCTGATCTCCAGTTGGAAATGAATTGGTCGGAGGTACAAAGGGAAGGCCGAGGTCGCGGTTAATCTGTGGTCTCGGAGGAGACTTTCCCTGAAGGGAAGGGCGGAAGTATGTGGTTCACACATATATCCAATTCTCCTGTACCGACTCTCTGTGCTTCCACTCCCGTATGCCCGACTAATGTCATTAGTCAAGGTGTTGTTCTCTTTCTTTGTGGAGAGGCAAGGCCCATATGGTATCTCGCGAGGTCTGTTGCCTTCATCCCTCGGAGGGCGGTCTGGGTATGCCTAGCATTGAGATTCGTCAATATATGCTTCGCATCACCTTTCTAGACCGAATGTGTCGCGGGTCGGATGCGGAGGTGCCTTTTGGAAAGAAGACGTCCAGAAACATTTCCCGTCCCTGAGAAGTGTGCACTCGTGCGAAGAGGAGGCCAGCCGTACACCACGTGCCGAGTGCTCCTTCTATCGTGAATGTCGTCGCGCTCTGAAGCTCCTCTTGCGGGCTACGGATGGCCTCTCCAACGCCCAGGCGTTGTCTCGTAAGGCATTGTATCAAGTATTAGTTAGGGGGGCCGCACAAGATGATCTAATTGGCGAGCTCGGTCTTACGAAGCAGGAGGCTCGCTCGATATGGTCTTGGGCGCCTGGGTTGAAATGCCTCAATAACGATGAGGCATCACTCACCTGGCTGGTTATTCGTGAAGCCCTCTGGGTCGGCAAGAGACTCTGTGCAGCAGGCTTGGAGAAATATCCAAACTGTCGTCGTTGTACTGGGGAAGTCGAGACCGTTGGTCACGCCTTTTTTCGGTGCAAGGCGGTAGTGCCGTTGTGCAAGTTTGTTGAAGGCCTCATGGTTCGCATGTTGCAGGGAAAGTTTTTTGTCCTTGAAGCTAGCTCTCTTTGTAGCAATGTGGTACCGCAATTGACGAAGGCTGAACACTATGTGTTCTGTTGCTTACTAGGGGTTATGAGAGTCGTGATTTGGACGACGCGTCAGAAGGATTCCATGAGGGGCGAAGTTCACCTCTTCCCAACTGATCTTGTACTTTAAGCATCAGCTTAAAGTCAAGATTAGGACGAAAAGGCGGCGGCTCACCTCATCGGAATTCAGCAAAAGGTGGGTGAATCTTGCGCGTTTGTGCCGTGTAAAAGGGGCTGACTTGGGTGGCATTTTGATGTCGGTTAGGCATCAGGATATTGTTTTCCTGGGTTGAACATGGGCAACCCTTCCCAAAATTTTAGGTTAGAGTAGGATTTTATATTTTTTCGTTTAGTTTTTCTTTCCTGTTCTGAGGTTACTTACGGACGGGTTGCTTGAGCCTCGGGGGAATTGTGTCCAGCTAAACTGGAACCAAATGACCAACTGATATTTATGGTCTTGGTCGGAGGAGGATTGTGGGAAGCAGTTAGCCTCCTTTAAAAAACCCTCCTCTGTATTCTGATTGACCTATTTTCTCTATCAGCCGACACGTGACTGGTTATTTGTCGTGCTGAAGGATTATTTTTTTTTTTTCTGCTCTGTTACTCGACCTAGTTGGAGCAGGTCGCAAGAGGAGGATTCCTTTTGCAACCCTTACCAGGCTGTCGCTGCTCTCTTCTGGGTTTTCCCTACTTTACTGTGTCGAAAGTTTTTTTTTTTTTTCCGACAAATTGCAAAAGGACCTTCTACAGAAATTTGTTTTTTTTTTTTTTGTTAACGGCATTTCTTTAAAAAGAAAAAAAAAATGGATGTTACTAAAGAACAGATCCTTCATAGGTTGACTGTTCTTAAAATCAAAGTCGAGGAACGACTGAAGTTGTGTCGTGGAGACAGAGTAACGCCTCATGTTTTCTCTGTCTTCCGAAAGGATATTCTGCAATACATCTTCGAAATGGAGACTTGTATCACAAAATTAGAGCTGGGCTCCTTCCCCGAGACGGACTTGCTTGAGACCGAAGCTGAATGGGCGCCTCGACTAATGGAGTACCACCGAGAACTGGGCGATCTGGATGGTTCATTTTCTCCCAGTTCCTGCTTGGATCCTGTTTCCCAGTCGTTTGGGGTTCCGTCAACACCTGGAAGAAGTTCGGCTTCCTTTGTTGTCAAACCTCCGCAAATACAAATAACGGGGCCCACCTTTAGCGGACTTGAGATGGCTGACGACCACATGAGTTTCCGGAATTTTTTGACGAGATTCGAAAACTGTGTGGTTGGCATGGCCAATGACTCTGAAAGATTAAACTTTCTGAAATGTTCCCTCTCCGACAGAGCTTTAAGACTGATTAACCATTTGAGTTGCACGGATGCCAACTATCAGCGTGCTCTTTCGGTGTTAAAGAGGGAGTATTTGGACATTGATGAGATAATCGACCAGATATTTCAAGACATTCTAGACTATGTTCCTAAAAAGGACATCTGCTGCTCTGGTCTGGGTGAATTTATCTCCAGGACTGCCTCTCTCTTGGAGGAGCTAGGGAATTCTTTTTCTTGCGACTTTTCGGTGGACGATTCTGGTGGAGCTCGCCTAATGGCCAAGATTCTTTTTCAGAAATTTCCCAAAGAATTGAAGGGGGAAATGATAGGACTAACAGGTAAACGAATACCATCATTGTCTGCTATATTGGAACTTACAAGTGAGGCAGTCAAACGATTACGGGTTAAGGGAAGCGCGTCTGCTGCTTCTACATTCACCACTGGCCAGGGTTCTTCTCAAAAAACCGCACGGAGGGCCACTGTTACTTCTTCCTTTCATGTGGATTCCAACAACCTGACTTCTGCTGGTTATTCCCGTAGCTTGCCCCCCATCCTATTGGTCACTTTTTTCAATGGAGAAAAAATGGTGTCAGTTAATTGCCTTTTGGACACTGGTAGTGGGCGTTCGTACTTGTCTGCTGATGTACTGAGGGACTTGGGTTCAGTTGAGACTGTTGGAGTCAGTTGTCGGCTTAGACTTTTCACCCTCCTTGGTGAGTGTGACCGGAATTTCACGGAGGTGGTTCTGGGAGTTGACCTTGGTTCTGGTGAGGCTTTGGCTTCCTCTGTTTTGGTCACTGATGCAATGGACTTGTCTGTACGACTGGCTCACTTGGAGACCCTGTTGGGTGCTTTTAGGGCAGCTGACTATAATTTGGCTGGCCAATTTGAGGCCGGGTCAGACCTTGTGCTTATCAAGGGCATTATTGGATTGGACCTTATTCATCGATTGATTACATTGAAGTTGGTCCCCTGTCTGAGGGGTTGGGCATTTTCTGTTCCGTCAGGCCTGGTTCCCTTTGGAACTGTGGACTCTTTTTGTCAGGAGACAAGATCCCTTGTGAAGTGGCCCACCTCTCCTTTAATACTGTAATGGGGATACCCCGAAGTGAATTCCTCACATTTGTGCTTCGTTCTTGAAAACCAACCAACCTACCTTGACCCTTTGGCGGAGTTTTTTCCTGACAGTGCAGTACAAAGAGGATTGGAACGGATGTTTGACATGGAGTCCCTAGGAATATCTGATGAGGATACCTTCTCTGATTATGATCAAGAACAGATGAGACGTTTTAAGGATACTGTGGAGCTCAAGGATGGGAAGTATTACGTGGAGCTTCCCTGGCATTCTGATAAGTTGGCTCGGGTCCCATCCAATCACGCCGTTTCTTTGCGCATCTTGGACCGGGTGGCTTCAACCCTGACTAAAAAGAATATTTATCTGGAATACTTAGAGGTGTTCCGTCAGCAAGAACAGGATGGAATAATTGAAGAGATTTTTGTTCCCCAACACGAATTTGATAAATATGTGTGGATTCCACATCGACCGGTTTTCAGGTCTGACCCAACAGCTACTACCAAAATCAGACCTGTGTTCAATTGCAGTCTGAAGACTGGTGGTGGATTGTCCCTGAACGAGGCAGCTTACTCTGGGGTCAATCTAACTGGAGATATGTTGAAGTTATTATTGTCTTTCAGAACTAACAATTACGTTCTGCTAGCAGACATTCGAAAGGCATTCTTGATGATTCATCTCAAGTTGGAGACTGACAAAAACCGGTTTTGTTTCTTCCTTAAGGATGGGGATCGTCTTCGCTGTTTTCGATATACCACCTTGATATTCGGGTTCACCTCAAGCCCCTTTGTACTGGGGTGTATCCTGAAAACTACATGCAGCAAGATACCCACTGGACGCTTGCCGCAGGATGATTGAGGACAGATTTTATGTGGACAACCTTGTAACATCGGAAGCAGATCCAGTGAAGCTGGCGAAATTGTACTCCCTGGCACGGGAACGTTTGCAGGAAGGCGGCTTTGTTATTCAGTCCTGCAACTCCAACGATGAGGCTCTCCGAGCCAGGATGAAAGAAGATGGTACACTGAGTGCACATGATGAAGAATGGGAGAAGGTACTGGGTTACCGATACAACCCTCTTTCAGAAGAGATGCACGTGGGCCACGTCAGGTGCGATCCCGATGCGTCAACAAAGAGGGGAGTGCTTTCTGAGTCAGCCAAAATTTTTGACCCCTTATCTCTTTGTCTCCCAGTTACGGTTCGCAGCCGAATACTTATTAGGTCTATGTGGAAGAATGGTTTGGGTTGGGATGATCCTCTCCCTACTGCGGTTTTAAGTGATTGGAGGGAGCTTGCTGGGGACCTGTCTGGACTGAGTGACTTCCATTTTTATCGAAAGGTTCTCGATGCGAGACAGCCTGGAGATATGTACCTCTTTTGCGACGCTTCCACGGAGGCATATGGATTTGCCGCTTACATTGTGCAAAATCATCGATCGTCCTTGGTGTTTGCTAAGGCTAAGGTCGCTCCGATGAAAGACAAAACTCTACCTGTTTTGGAGTTAATGGCTGTTTATCTCGCTTTCAAGTGCCTACCAACAATCCTGGACAACTGTGAAGGGTTTGTTCCAAGTAACTTATGTGTGGCTACTGATGCCCAAGTAGTGTTGTCTTGGCTCTTGTCTCAATCCATGGCCATCAAAAACATTTTTGCTAGAAACCGACTCAAGGACGTCCTGCAAATGAACCTTGGGTTAGAATCCCGTTACGGCCTGAAGACTCTCTTCAAATATGTGGATTCTGCACATAATCCGGCCGATCTGATCACGAGGGGAATGACGTTGAGGAAGTTTCGTTCCAACTTCCAATTTTGGTGTTCTGGTCCTTCTTGGTTGTGTGAGGGAATCATCCAGTGGCCGACACAAGACTTGCCTTGTTTAAGCGAGACGTGCCAGCAGATGGCCCGTACTTCAGTGCACTGTTCTATGGTTCTGAACCAAGAATACCTCTCCGTCATACCCTTTCACAGGTTCTCAACATTTTCTGGGTTACTGAGAGTTACCTCACTGGTGTTCAAGTTCATAGCCATTCGGCTAGGACGGGAGTGGGATTACAGATCTAAGGCAGCCATTTACCTGATGAGAGTTCTCCAACGACATGAATTCCCTTCAGAGGTTGAGTATTTAATGAAGCCAGCAGGAAGATCTGAACCCGTCAGAGTTCGTGCCCTGGATCTTTTTTTTTGGACTCGGATGGGTTAATCAGATCAAGAGGAAGAATCGACCGATCTTCATATTTTACCTATGAAATCAAGAACCCTATCCTGATAGGGAAACACCACCCTGTGACCAGACTTATTATTTTGGATTGTCATATAAAGTGTTGTCACCTTGGAACTGGATCTACTTTGGCTGAGTTGAGGCGGAGCGGCTACTGGGTCCCTCAAGGAAGACAGGCCGTCAACAAGGTTCTAAAGTCATGTGCCAGATGCAAACGATACAATTCGCGACCAGTACTGCCGAGTGCTGCGGCCAGCTTACCAACTCATCGAGTCGAATTTGAGGTCCCTTACCAGCATACAGGCGTTGATTTCACCGGCCATTTCTGGGTGAATGATGGTAAGCAGGACAAGAAGATGTACTTGCTCTTGTTCACGTGCTTGAATATCAGAGCAATACATATTGAGTTGGTTCCAGACATGAGTGTGCTATCCTTCTTTCAAGCCCTGGTTCGCTTCACCAACCAAAGTGGAGTTCGGAAGTAATCTACAGTGACAATGCTAAAACCTTTCTGGGAAGCGGAAGACTTTTTAGTCGCCTCTCTGTCTTCCAGGAGTATAAAAGCAAGTATGGTTCTTGCGGGTTAAAACTAAAACCATCCCTCTGTTTTCACCTTGGTACGGGGGAACATGGGAGCGTTGCATTAAAACGGTGAAGGATTGCCTTTTTAAGATTCTTGGCAGAGGTAAACTGGATTATTTTACCCTCTTGACAGTGGTCTCTGATATTCAGAGATCGGTCAACAACCGACCTCTGACCTATCAGTTGTCTGCTGATAACAATGCTGCTGCTATCACACCCAACATGTTACTTAGGCCCAACAAGAGTCCGGGGCTGTTGTTGCGATTGAACAAAAATGACATCGCTTCTGCAGTACCAGCCAGTAGAAAAAGGCTCGTGGAAGCAATGGACATCAGGAACCAGTATTTATTAAGGTTCCATGAGTCCTGGTACAAGGAATACCTTCTGGAGCTGGGAAGAAGGGTCCCGGGACGCACACGGTTGCGGACAGAGAACCGGCTTCAGAAAGATGATGTGGTCCTGATTAAGAGTCCTCTGAAACCGCGACCATTTTGGGTCTTGGGGACAATTACAGATCTCATACCCGGTGATGATGGTGTGGTCAGGTCTGCTCGTGTCCGAAAGGGGGGGTGGTCTCGAAGAGGTACACTCTTTGAAACACCTCTACCCACTGGAACTTTCCCTGACAGCTAACCGTTCTTCTGAGTTACCAACTAGTGGTCCTGTGTCACCCCCTGGGAGTGCTTTGATTGCAGAGAGGGACGAGGTTCCATCATGTTCTGCTGCCAACGATGAGGAGCATGTCTGGTTGTGTCCTGTGTGCAACTCTCCTCAGGGAAATCTGGACATGATCGGGTGTGATTCTTGTGATGAATGGTTCCATTTTCGTTGTGTTGGCATTGACGAGGAGCCGCCTGAAAGGCAGAAGTGGTACTGCCCTGAGTGTGCGCCCCAAAGACGACGCAGGGGTAGACCAAGTCTGCTTCCCGCCTAATTGGCAATCAGTTAGCCATTTAGAAATAAGAACTCAACTCGCCTGTCAGGGGAGAGACATTGTTACCCGTTTTTTTTTTGTTTTTTGTTCTTTTTGTTTTCTCTCTTCTCTTTCTTTTCTACACGTCTTTTTTTGTGTTTTTGCTGTCGGGAATGTGTGAAGAAAAGGAAAGAGGAAGAGAGAAGGGGTTACTTACGGACGGGTTGCTTGAGCCTCGGGGGAATTGTGTCCAGCTAAACTGGAACCAAATGACCAACTGATATTTATGGTCTTGGTCGGAGGAGGATTGTGGGAAGCAGTTAGCCTCCTTATAAAAACCCTCCTCTGTATTCTGATTGACCTATTTTCTCTATCAGCCGACACGTGACTGGTTATTTGTCGTGCTGAAGGATTATTTCTTTTTTTCTGCTCTGTTACTCGACCTAGTTGGAGCAGGTCGCAAGAGGAGGATTCCTTTTGCAACCCTTACCAGGCTGTCGCTGCTCTCTTCTGGGTTTTCCCTACTTTACTGTGTCGTGTACATAATGAAAAACCTAAATACACCCCTTGAGTCAAAAGAGGCATTTTGGTGGATGTAGTAAGAAAGGTATGGATAAATGTGTTGTTTTGGTGATAGGAATATTGTTTAGTATGATAGGGTCAGTGATTGTGGCTAGCTAAGTTTTATTTTAAGACATGTGATGACCGTCCTTTTCCCCAGCCCCCTTTTCGGCCTCGTGCCACATTTGTACATAATATACTTAATATACTATAATACAATAAATAATGAGAATTTACGACGACTAGCATTTGCTAAACGAGTTCACGACGCTTGTATCATTACTGCAGCGAAGTACAAAGTTAGAATCTCGAGTTCTTTAACACGAAATAACTTCGCTGTAAATCAAGCTAAAATATCAACCAAACTAAACAACTCACCAACTTCTGCAACTTAACTAAAACTATTCAATCACGTTATTGAAACTTAAATACGAACAATACATTCAACTACGAGCAACGAAAACAAACGGAACATTCACTTCTCCAACTTCTTTAAAGCTAAAAGTTTATCAACATATTTTCAGCTTTACAAGATTCTTTAAACTCTCTTTCAGTGAATATTTTGAACGACAAGATAATTCAGTTTTTGTGAGCTCAGGTAAAAAATATTTTATTAGTAAAAACTTTAGCCCAGTCGAAGGGAAGTAACTCATATTAATAGTTATTGTAAAACTGTTGTCATTTATAAACATAAATATTGTACCTGTTAGGAAAAGTTATTTTCTTGTGTTCTTTTGTTTGCTTTTT